TGGTCAAAAGCCGATTCAAAAACCATATGCTGACGTCATAAAAACAGTACCTCCTGCCCCAATGAGAGCGCCAATCGTGCCAGTGACTTTCTTGTCCGACGACGCCCGGGTCTGTCCATAGAGCACACCAGTGGCAGCAGCTGTATTCGGGTCATTCGCCTTCTGCGCTGCCACAGCCATAGCCAGGATGTCGTCATAGGAGAATGGGTCTCGTCGCGAGAACGCGTTGCGGCCGACCTCGGCCACAGCTGCTTCCAGTGCGTCCACAGATGATGAGCCCAAAGAATCCTCGAGAGTCTTGAAAGCCGACTTGACCAACGTCACTCCGGCTGTACTCATGAGCCCCGTGTCCGGGTTCACGTCGAGGAATGGCACAGTTCCGCGGGTTGTCATACGGAACAGCATGAGAGCGGCAAGAAGAGAGTCTTCCTTCCCACCTAGGCTCGTTTGTAGCTTCACACCTTCGGTACATCCATCACGAATTAATGTCATACACACATAAAGTACAGTACAATACCGCTGAGCGTGGAAATTTTTTTTTTTAAAGCGAAATAATCCGATTTTCTTAGCATAACGACGAAGACGGCACCTCGAATTTTCTAAACATATACTCACCGTAAAAAAAAAAAAAACAAAACAAAAAACATTTACTTTTACAAATCTTCTCTATAAATAAAAAGTTGAACAATAACCTGATATCAGTTTATGTAATCCAATCTTCAAGAACAAATGATCACAGATTAATTCCACCAATTTTCTCCTCGAAGGTGAACAACCCGATATTTTTCAACGGACGCTTCTCTCCCGAGATGAATATTCCCACATTATCTAACAAATCTTAAATGTTATTCTCCCTACATGTGAACATCTTGATCGCTTATTATATACGAAGTCTTCTCTTCAGATCTGAGAAATTAACAAGCATCCACATTCCTTCGTTCTTGAAAACAATACGTAATTAAAAGAGGACTATTTCTGTCGACACAGGTTTAAATGGTTGAAACTCAAACCTCCCTAAATCAAAATTTTTTCAAGTCCCTGTCTGAATTACCTTATAAACGATGCATTAAAAACCACCTCAACTCAAAGGATTTCCCCATCAAACCTCCATAAATCGAATTTTCTGGAGGCCCTTTAGTTATCTGTTTTTTATGCACTCAAGAAGGAGAAAAGCAATAAAAATGTCACTTATTGATGCATTTTAAAAGGAGGCGATGAGAAATTGGGCATATGCATCCTTGGCTTCAACTTGAGCATTGTCCAGTCAACCCATTCAGGAAGCAATTCAAGGCCCAGCAGCATATCACCAATTACAATTTCCTTTAATTCTTCTTTCTTTTCCATCCAACAAAAAAGCTGCTTACCCAAACTCGATATTTTTTTTGGCTGGTCCTTGGAAATTCGACTTTATCATACAGTGCATTCACGATAAGGTAAAGGACGAATGAAATCTGGCATCAGACGAGATATGGACTGCTGATGACTCACTTTCAGGCAGACAGCGTGGTACCACATCAGTTGGGTACCAGACACCCGGTCGCCGGTCCTCACACCACAGAGCCATTTGGTTCCTGAGTGGAAAGTCAACGAGGAAGTTGAACACAAAGCCTGGCCCCTCGCACATGTAGAAGGCGAATGTCCGGTTGATTTGAACGACCATGTTGTCACTTTTCTCTGCCTTGCGCACCATCACCAGGGATGTCATGGCGTCCACGTCAGCGGGCGACGGTGGTGAGTCACAGCCTGATACACATACATCAACACAGTATGTAATCTTCTCCAGTCAAATTCAGAGAGAGAGAGAGAGAGACATAAAAATTTTCTAATTGATCTAGGAGTTGTTTAATTTGGAAAACCAGCATTTTTGCTTTAAAAAAAAAGGAAGAGTCACAAGAAGGTAAACATTGTGTATCCAGGCCCAAACCCGCAAGATGAATGATTTAACAGGAATTGAGGAACTTGGAGGCAAGGATTCATTTACCCATTAGTCTTTTTGAAAAACTTGAAGAATTACATTTTTATTACCTTCATTTATTGTCCCCAAAAATGCCAAAATAGTAGCCCAAAGGCCTCTCAGGATTTTAGTTATGCAAATATTTGCATTAGAGAGATATTTTGAAGTCTAAAATACTTGGCTCTCAAGGGAGTTCAGACAGGTGCTGAAAAAAAAAAATTCAAAATCCGAAGTTTTTTGATTTGGGGAGGTTGAATTTAGAAAATTGGATCTTGGTCAGTCAAATACAATGAAATATACCGTTAATCCCTGCCCAATGCCATAAACTCCAAAGCAAATTAAATCATCATAAATGAAAATTCTATGCGTCAAACCTTCCTTAGTCCAATTTATATGGCCTTTCTGCTTTTATTAAATTGGGGACAGACTTTGGAAGATCTGTCCTAGAAAACCAAGAAACAAATGCAAATGGTTTTTACGCAAGGCAGGATTAGGAATCTTCCCACAGATAAGACATCCATGAATAAAAAATAGTCCTCACAATTTGGCCAGAAAATAATTTCCCTCAATTAACGTATACCCAAATCAAGCCAAATTTCCAGGATCAATACCTCTCCAGGTATAAATTCATTTTCTTGAGTTCCTTCAAATTCCACTTCGAGAGGTTCAATTGTACATGGTTAATTCTTGATAATTACCATATAAATCAGAAAAAAAGGTAAAAAAAAAAATCATTGAATACGCACTTGGAGCAGCTGATGTACTTGATTCCTGCGCAACAACTCCATAGTCGGATGCAAGTAGGACAAGCATCATTAGGACAAGTGACATAGCGCCTTCAACGCAGTGCATATTTCTTCTTCTCTTGCTGCGGGTATAAATAAAATTTTCTTCATGAATTTTAGCAAAAAAGGAGAAAATCACGTCCTGATGGACAATAAATAGGTCAGTCAATCTATTAGTGTTAATAAAGCTTTCACTGAGTTGTATTCAACTTCATATTGGGTACTGCTGTAGGTATGTGTACCTAAACAATTAGCACATATTTTCTGAATTATTTATTATTAAACTGAATTTTCACCCAACACTGATTTTCAGAGAGTACTACAGTACAGTAATTTAAAAAAATTTCAAGTACAGTATTCATGTACTGAGTAAATATATTTCAACTGCTCTTATTTTATCCACTTTAGATAGTGTAATATGGTATAATTTAGAAATTTAAGTACAGTATTTTTTACATGAATTTAGGCTGTAGCAAATAATGTAGGACTCTCTCGACAACGATTTTCTCAGCAAAAGGAATTTTTTGGGGTCCGATAGGGTTCTCTCTCCCTTTTCGTAGGGTCTCTATACAATGAAAGCCTCTCCACAATGATTTTTTTCTTTTCTTGAATTGCTTTTGTAGAGAGATAGAGTCTACCTGTATATTTTAACTGCATTTTTGCTCATTTTAGATAATGAATCATTCATAAAAATGAAACACATGTAAAAATTTAGAAGCAATTTGGTTAATTACTGCGTGTAAAGAGTGTGGGAAATTTTCGAAGTCGCCTCAAACCTCTCTCCACACCATTATTTTCAGTGAAATACAATAAAAAAAAGTCATACCACCATTGCAATGTAAATCTATTTTACTCACAAATGCGCATAGATAATTATCCTCCATTAATAAAACTCCAGCTCTACTCACCAACACTCAATCCGGCAAAATTTGAGTACAGATATCGTGCTGCTGTTCAGCAGTCACAGAGATTCTCTTTTACTGTCATCCATATGACCTTACGCTGGGTCACAAACCAGCGCTGCTAGAAATGACGGGGAGTGACGAGTACATACGCGCAATAAAGCCTTGTTGTGCTTTGCTTTCGGGATACGATTGGATTGCATTGACCTCGGTTGCCCAGGTTATTCCTCGCGAACGCTTGACCAGTCGTCACGGTTACAGCTAATTTTGCGTGTTTTTTTTGTTTGTTATTTTTTTGCAGTAATGGTGGCAATGAGGATTCGAGGTCGTGTTGGGGACAGACACAGCAGGCTTGATCGCTTTCCGACTCATATCCCGGCGATCCTTCACGTTCTGGTTGTTTTTGGCGGAGAAGGCATTAAAAAACCTGCAATGAAGTATAATCGGCATTCATTCAATGATTACTTTAAAAGAATTTGGCAGAAATATTTTCAAGAGAAATTCTTTTCCACTAAGAGTACATCCGAAACTAAAACTGGAAAGCTAAATTCTTTGCGGAAGAATTCTCGACCAAAACTGAAATATTACTCTAAGAAGCGAAAAAGCTTTTTTTTTTTGCCGATAATTGTTTTTCACGTTTCCGTCGTATACATTTTGTGCATATTCCCCAAAAGTATGAGCTCCAAATTGAATCCAATTGCATTCGAATTTGAAATAGTATATATTTAAAACATAATATTTTATGATAATCACGGATATTTGAAAATTGTTTCCTTCGAAATTTCCCCGAATTAGTGATTGAATTGCATTTAATAGCTCAAAAACTTTATCGAGGATCTGAAAAGCAAGAAATAGGATCCAAAGAACACTTTCAATCTTTGAAAGGGTGCAATCGCTTTTTTAAATGTCGTAATTGATGCTTAAAAATTCCCATGCAGTCGAACTTGTCGTGGGTCCCCCTGGATTTGACCTAAAGAGGGCTAACTTTATAATATTCAGGTTTATAATTATCATACTTGCTTGAAGAAGTGTTCAAAAATCGCGTGGGTCATTTACCCTGATGATCACACACCAAAACAAAATCGATAAAGGAAATTATGCGGTCTTCCTACATTCGTAAATATAGCAAGCAAAAATAAAGTTTTGATGTAGATCGCATCCCAAAGCAGAGCAGAACCCTATTTCTTTTTCTGTTGATGGCTTTTCTTATCCGAAGTATCACCAAAGCCGCGGATAGAGCATGAAATCTAGTATAGTGTTGCAGCAGCTTTTTCGAGGTTTTTATTGGGTAACTGGGTGTAACTGTTCTTCAAAGCTATTTGATATAAGTTCTTTTTTTTTACAAGAGAGTGGGTCGTATAGTCTGCGCCGAGCAAGCAAGGGTAGGAAATTTATTCCGAGGCCGGAGTTCCTGTCACCTCCGTGGACTCGCCTGGATCACCTCGAACGTCACTTCCTCGTCAAGGACACTTCCACAACTTCTGAGCAATGCAATTTTTCAAGCAGCTAAAAATAATCAATGCGCCGTAAGTTACTTGATGAGGAGGCACTAGAGGAAAGTTCCTTTAAAAAACAAGGAATAAATTGAGAATGATCTTCGAACCGAAATTCAATATCAAAAACGGAAATTGACATTGGAACAGGAAAACAGAAGACATTTCTCCTCAGATTTACAAAAAAAAGGATATACGGCAAAAAACTTGGGCTACATTTGCTAAAATTTTAGTAAATCATTAAAATCTATCAAGATGACGTTATTTTNCGGAAATTGACATTGGAACAGGAAAACAGAAGACATTTCTCCTCAGATTTACAAAAAAAAGGATATACGGCAAAAAACTTGGGCTACATTTGCTAAAATTTTAGTAAATCATTAAAATCTATCAAGATGACGTTATTTTCTGTATTCGACAATGGCGAACGTGCAGCTTGAAGATCAGCATCACAATGCTTTTACAGTTGGATTCTCTCCCTCCATAACGATCTTTTCTGCAGCAAGTTTCTCAGCTGAAAGAATTTTTATGCCATAGAATTCGATTCTCATGTCACATAGGAGTCATCTGCAACAAAATTCTCTCCATATCGAATTTTTCTGGGCCCTTCAAATTTCTTTCAGAGAGAGTCAAGTCCACCTGCACTGGCAATTACAGCCATCCAATAATTTAATCTTCATCACTGAGCCAAATAAAAAGTGCAGATTTAAATCAAACCTTCGTCACCACAAAAATAAATTGCAATACAAAAAGAAGTATTCTTGACCATGGATTGTGAGAAATTTTGTAAATTAACGGCATGATATTTCATACGTGGACCTACAGAAACTGCATTGGCAATCCAAAAGCCAGGTCTTTTTTAAAAAGTCTACAGCCGATACCACGATTTCCTCATCTTCGAGTACAAAAAAAAAGGGAAAAAAACAGCGGGTACGGACATTATTTCATTTGACTAAATATGACCATGAAAAATTCATTTAGCCTTTTTAAGAAATGCAACTTACACATATTGAAGCCCTTCCGTGGTTTCATTATCTATGCGACGAATTCTTGACGAGGTACGTTTTCCGACGCATGCACAAACGAATTCCCGGAAAATGGCCCTTCTGTGGCGATGGAAAGCTGTAGGAACTTAGAAACACCTGGTGCATATCATAAGAAATCTCCATTCGATTTTCTCAAATCGTAAATTGAGAGAAAGCGTTCTTCGACGTCAACACAATAGTACTAATGGTTCTCAATAATCTGCGCTTCACAAATTACGAACTTCTATAGGGGGCTGGGACGTCGTCGATTAAGGGATTTCAAATGTGATCAAGAAGAGGTTCAGAACTAGTCAAGAACACTGTACATGAAAGATAAACGACATACTGCTTACGCAAATAAAGCTTGATACCATACCTTATAGGGATAGAAGTATTTTACTCATTTTCAGGCCCAAATAGTTTTGCCCCATATTTACTTCACCGCCATTCAATTTCAAGCGCATGAAATACTGTAGAAGCAAGACGCTTTCAACAAAGAAAAGTATTTCAGCCTCAGTCTCCAAGTGCCCCGAAGTCGAGGGCTTTAATTCATCCCTCGANAAGAGATCATATCACAACGTCGTCGAAAAAGCTCCAAAAATAACCCATTGACCCACATTGACAAGAAGTTTCGATAAACTATATTCAAGAAAAAAAAATGTTCTCTCACCCAGCATATCAGACGCGGCTCCAAGCAAGGGTAGGAAATTTATTCCGAGGCCGGAGTTCCTGTCACCTCCGTGGACTCGCCTGGATCACCTCGAACGTCACTTCCTCGTCAAGGACACTTCCACAACTTCTGAGCTATGCAATTTTTCAAGCAGCTAAAAATAATCAATGCGCCGTAAGTTACTTGATGAGGAGGCACTAGAGGAAAGTTCCTTTAAAAAACAAGGAATAAATTGAGAATGATCTTCGAACCGAAATTCAATATCAAAAACGGAAATTGACATTGGAACAGGAAAACAGAAGACATTTCTCCTCAGATTTACAAAAAAAAGGATATACGGCAAAAAACTTGGGCTACATTTGCTAAAATTTTAGTAAATCATTAAAATCTATCAAGATGACGTTATTTTTTTTATTCGACAATGGCGAACGTGCAGGTTGAAATCCATAACGATCTTTTCTACAGCAAGTTTCTCAGCTGAAAGAATTTTTATGCCATAGAATTCGATTCCCATGTTATATAGGAGTCATCCGCAACAAAATTCTCTCCATATCGAATTTTTCTGGGCCCTTCAATTTTCTTTCAGAGAGTCCACCTGCACTTGCAATTACAGCCATTCAACAATTTACTCTTGATTACTGAGCCAAATAAAAATTGCAGAATTAAATCAAACCTTCGTCACCACAAAAATAAATTGCAATACAGAATGAAGTATCCTTGACAATGGATTGTGAGAAAATTTGTGAATTAACGGCATGATATTTCATACGTGGACCTACAGAAACTGCATTGGCAATCCAAAAGCCAGGTCTTTTTTAAAAAGTCTACAGCCGATACCACGATTTCCTCATCTTCGAGTACAAAAAAAAAGAGAAAAAAAAATAGCGGGTACGGACATTATTTCATTTGACTAAATATGACCATGAAAAATTCATTTAGCCTTTTTAAGAAATGCAACTTACACATATTGAAGCCCTTCCGTGGTTTCATTATCTATGCGACGAATTCTTGACGAGGTACGTTTTCCGACGCATGCACAAACGAATTCCCGGAAAATGGCCCTTCTGTGGCGATGGAAAGCTGTAGGAACTTAGAAACACCTGGTGCATATCATAAGAAATCTCCATTCGATTTTCTCAAATCGTAAATTGAGAGAAAGCGTTCTTCGACGTCAACACAATAGTACTAATGGTTCTCAATAATCTGCGCTTCACTAACTTAGAAACACCTGGTGCATATCATAAGAAATCTCCATTCGATTTTCTCAAATCGTAAATTGAGAGAAAGCGTTCTTCGACGTCAACACAATAGTACTAATGGTTCTCAATAATCTGCGCTTCACAAATTACGAACTTCTATAGGGGGCTGGGACGTCGTCGATTAAGGGATGTCAAATGTGATCAAGAAGAGGTTCAGAACTAGTCAAGAACACTGTACATGAAAGATAAACGACATACTGCTTACGCAAATAAAGCTTGATACCATACCTTATAGGGATAGGCCCAAATAATTTTGCCCCATATTTACTTCACCGCCATTCAATTTCAAGCGCATGAAATACTGTAGAAGCAAGACGCTTTCAACAAAGAAAAGTATTTCAGCCTCAGTCTCCAAGTGCCCCGAAGTCGAGGCCTTTAATTCATCCCTCGAATTTTGCATAATTTATGCTACAGGTTCCAACATCCGACCAATTTTGGTAATCATAAAAAGAATTCTCCTTAAAAACTAGTAGATCTCATATCATTCGTTAGAGTATCCGTTCGTAAGGAGACACAGGATCCTTTGAAAGAAACACTTCATTAGCGGATCAAAGATAGTCGTTCCTGTACTGCGGAAGATTTTGCGGACTTTTATTCTCCTTCCATCACAAAAAAAAAAACCAAACGAGCAAAGAAGAATTTGTAGCATCACAAAAACCTTCCCAAAAAAAAAAAAAAAAAAAAACGCAGGCGTAAAAAACTCACTCAGTTTCCATTGCCTGCTCTTCACTCGGTTTCGATCTTTTCCCACTCTTCTTTTCTTTACTCTTCGGATCGGATTTCCTCTTCAAAGCCTTCATCTTTCGCGTTTGCAATTCGTCCAGGTCCTGCCGAGTCATGTGGACACGACCCAGAGTTGATCCCAGTTTATCCTTGGAGACATTCTTCTTCTTCTTGCCCTTGAGCAGCTTGGGTTTGCGACACGCGGTTTTGTACAGTTCCTCCGAGGCGAGATTCGTTCTCCTGATAGTCAGGTCGAACCGAGGCCCCACTTCTTCCACTTCGATCCGGGGTGTCCGAGTCCCCGACTTCTTCAACGCCACGCTGAAAGCAAAATTCGAACTCCGAAAATTAGTTGTCTTACATCCCGAAGAAAATTACGCTAATATAAGAAATTCTGTAAAATTTATATTTAAAAATTTGGCATAATTTCACGTCAAAAAAGGAAGTCAATTATTTTGCATCCAAATAAGTTTAGATAATTCCGCGCAAAAGTTACCATTAAACATCTGCGCGTCCCTCTTATCTCCATTTTTCTGCGTAATTTCTCCAAGAACTTCTAAACTCCATTTTCTAGTTATCCTTCACATGGGGGTTCTAGGAATAATTAAGGAGGCTTAAAAGGGCAGTTGAAATCGGAAAAAACCATACAACTGAGGAAACAGTTTTCGTAGAAAAAAGAAATGAGTATATAGAATACAATTATCTAACTTGTAATGTCGGACGAGGATTTTGCCTTCCAAAACGGTACAAACGACGGCAGATTCCAGACCCTTCAACCGGATCTTTTCCACAACTGGACCTCGAAAGATGTCCAACAAAAGACTCCTGATTCGGACGAGCGTGGGGTCCCGGGTCCAATCGTCCCCGGTGAACACAACCATTGGTTTCGTTCCGAGCGCAGGTTTTCCGCACTTGGTCTTGAATTCCTTCAAAGCCTTGTAATTACTGATACCGAACTCCACCATGTCGAGGACGTGGAAGTCGTACATCCTACCTGCAGCAGGGCAAAAAAAGTATATATAAAACATATATATAGATATATATTCCCCAATTTGAAAATGCCAAATCAATTAACACGTGCTACCGAGCATCATAGCTGATTAAAAGACTCACCGAGTATCAAGTTATCCGGTCGCTTCTTCGTATGGCTACCAAATGCGAATAATGGGGTGTGATGCTGTCGACTGAAATTCTCCAACGGAACGATATCCTCGAATGGTCGCACGTCGTTTTTCTTGGAAAACAACGTCGCTAGAGGCTTCCTTAGGGATGCTATATCTTTCAAGCAATTCGTCACGGTTTGCGGACACTTGACCCCTCTCAACAACATCATGTCCTTATCCGCTTCCTCCAGCTGAGGCTGACGAGCCACCAGAGCTCGTTTCGCAGCCTGGGTTTTCGGCTTCCTGAAAACATCAAACAATACTCTGATATTTTCTACCACAATACAGTAATAAAAAAAAGAACTCGATGATTCATCAACGGTTTCGAAGGGGAAAGACAAATAATGAAACGGCTGAATAGGAATGCTTAGAGCGAACAAAGCAACACGAACAATAATAAGAGCGACAGAAACCACAAGGCGTTTTTGATTTCCTCGATTAGTTCGGAATATTTACCATACTTTTTTCTGAATAATTTTACAGCATTATAATTAGTTTTTTAAGTTTAATTGGAATTTTCATCATCTTCCCTCCAGAGATTTCGAACATCTCTTTGAACTAGGAAGTTGAGCTTTTTAGAAATTCCGATTTTTAAACTTCCTCCAATCTTTAAATTGCCCATTTGAAACATTCAATACCACAAAAAATCATCAGGGCATTCCCAGAAAAAGTTTGGAATATTTTTTTTGATAAACCTCGTCTCAAAGAGGTCTTGAGGAAACAGAGATGATGCACTTTTAATCATTCATGGGAGCAAAATCGGAAGAGCCTTGACAAGAAATGTTCGAAGACAGGAAATGATTCAGGCAATCCTTTATGGAAGATACTTCGAAGCTTTCTACACAAAACTGCTCTGGCATGACTCGATTTTCAACATAATGTACAAATATAATACCGAACTGCTCACGAAAATCACACACTCTTCATACAATTCACAAAACATGACAAATAAGAGAGAAGCTTGAAATTTGCATTCGAATACTCACGTAATCCTTCGCAGAACCATTTTTACCCGCACCAATCTCACTCTGAAGATAAAAAACAAGAAATACAAGTGATCAATACACAAGATGGGTCTTCCTCGCAGGAATGATACACACACACAAAATCAATCAATACGCTTCATATTAATGTCCCAACAGTCTATATTCCTCCTTTTTCCCTTCTTGCACTTTTCGCATGACGCCTTCTGCACTTGGTACAATCGAAAAGAAAAAGTGGATTAAGAATATGGCTGGCGGTTAATACCCAGTAATCGTAAGACTCTTCCCTCTCCGCACCGAGATGCATAAAACCGAACGAAATCAAAGCGAGAAACAAACGTCCCTGCTTCCCGGAATGCTCCGTTTTCTCCAATCCACACGCTCTCAAAATCCTCGGCCTAACAATGAACAATGGCGCGGACGAGGGGAGACGAGATTGCATCCATCACTGTTTCCTTTTCTTCACCTAAACCACGCGCCTTCTTTCTTCTTCCCGCGCTCACATGAAACGAATTCTAAAACGCTGAGTTCAATATAGTCATGGCCAGCTCGCATTCATCTCTGTCCCGAGTACTTTTCTTCGCCAGGATTCGTGAAATTCACAATCAAGATGGATTCAAGTCGAAGATGATCACATGCACAAATCTGAATTTGGTTTCGAGTTTTCCCCGGGCCGAGGGTTAAAATGCGATTCCCGAAATTAAAAATGAAGTCTCAGAATTCTCAATATTTCAAGACCACTTTCTGGGTGAAGCTTTAACGTTAACGAGAAAATTCCAGGAATGACTCTTTTCACAGTTCACCAACAATAACTGAAAGATCCAAGTCGATACTTGAAAAATAAATAAATAAAAATAAACGCTGGTGGAATGGAATGTTCCGTTTTCACAAGCCATGAAGTTCAACAAAAAGATTTCCTAGCGAAAATTTGTATTCACTGATGTTTGCGAATGAAGTACTTGACGAGGAGAAGGTGAGGTTTAAAAAAGATAGAGACCACCATCAAAGCCTGATTCAATCTCCTGTACTGAAATTTCACTCCACTCGATGAAGCAATACTTGGAACAACATGAATGCAACTGACCACGAGAAAAAACATTGCTTTCCCGATTCTTTTCTCCACACACTCTCCAGCATGTAAAAAATTGAGAAAAACTCTCTCTCCAAGTGAACGAAGACCAACGACTAGTTTTTCCGCCTTCCAGGAAACAAAAAAAGAAAAAAACGGTAAACCTCTGACCACCGATCGAGAAAAAAAAAGCTCAGAAAAAGGCGGGCTGAAAATGGCCCATGACGTAGATCGACATGCTTGATTCGTCTGTATGACAAGATATGAGAAGACAGAACCCCCTCCTCTTCCAAAAACCCCCGTCGCAAGAACGAAAGAAATAAATAAAATCGAGTGAATGAAACTTTCTATCATACTTGTACAACCGAGAAAAAGTACTACAATGTCCTGTTTTTGGTCAGGGTTAAAACAATATCACTTCCTTAAACCTGGCTCAAGTATTTCATCACAAAGAGCAGAGCAACTGTGAACGACGTAAAAAAAAATTCTGACGGACTAGAAATTCCTCCCTTCTTCCAGATATAACATCCGCAACAATTCCGCCTAAGTTACATCAAATCCCCGTCGAAAGAAGATAAATCCTCGAACTGGAAGTTGTCGAGAAATAAGAACTTTTTGAAGTGAAAATGGAAGAATTGCTTCTTGGTTCTTTACACTCAACCACGAAGCTCAAGTCGAGGCGCAACAAGCTCCTCGCAACAGACATTAGCATACATTGGAAAGTCTGCAAAACTTTTTGCCAAACGGTAATGCTAGTCACAGAGCAAAGACAGTAGGAAACGAATATCACGTTAAAGTTACAACTCGGGGAAAATGAAGCTTTAACCTCACTATGCGTTTCAATTCTTCCAATTCAGGAGCTAAGAAAAAATGTTATTTTCTGTTAGACCCCCTGTCCGTTACTTTTGAGAGTTCCGGTAACTTCACGCAGGTGTCGCCTAATTCCGGAATCTGAACGAACATAATTAAAACCTGAGCAATCGAACCTGCATTACACAGACGTCAAGTAAATACGGACGTAATTTACGATTCCCCTGAACAACATGTGACATTGTGGAATGCCTGATGCTGGCAAAACATCGTTAAATTTCACGTTACGTTGATTAAAATCAGGAGAAACTGGAATTGAGAATCCCACTTCGAGAAGCACTGAAAATCAGGATGGGTATTCAATGAACAGTTCAACGACTACATTTACATCACTCTTCAAAAATAACCATGATAGTATCGTGTACATGTTATGATAACAATACATTAATTGTCTAGTAATTGTGAAAATTTTTATAGGTCCGTTATTTGTAAATAACTGTAAGAATGCATCAGAAATTAGCTTGGATGATGGAAGTTCCACAGCCAATAACCCAACACATATAAATAAAAATTCAGGCGACATCCATGAGATTCCAAGTCCCAGAATGGGAACAGAAGGAATGGGGGTATAACAGAAAATAACTGCATATAGCAAGGATGATCCAGAGCAAACAATGCTGAAATAAAATTTTCTGTTCTCCTCGAATACCCCCAAATGGTAACGATCGATCAACCCAACGTTACACCACAACGTCAAGAGGACGTGTTAACTTCGTAAATACCCTAAGATAGTAAGAAAAAACCTGGACGCTAGCACCTCAAGCGCAATGCAAGAACAAGTTAAATGAACAAAACAAAAAAAACCTGCACCGGACGAATTATCACAAATGCGGGACCTTGGGAGCGACAGGCGGCGCGGGAGAGCCACGTGGCACACTAGGAGATCGCCCACGCGACGCAGTGGTGCTGGTGGTGTCCTTGAAAAACGCAGGGTCCACGGAAGCCACCTTGGCAGTGAGGAATGCGTGCATTGTGAACAACAAACTCTGCAACTCAGCCGTCGCCATTTCCCGGGTCTCGACGGAGCCACGAGACGTTTGGAACACGAGGGTCAGGATTGATTTACCGTCGTCGGAACTGCCCTTGAGCTGCGAGAACTTGTAGCGCCAGACAACACCGTCTTCGTCTCGACGCTTCGTGGTGTGCAGCGTGAAGCCAGTCGACCAATCCAAACTCAAATCCAGCTCCTCTCCATCGTACGTCACACGGAAGGAAATTCTCTACAAAGCAGAAAAAATAAATTTTCAGTAAAACCCTTCATAAAAAATGAACAGTAGCACTTCATTTTCCTCTCAAACCCAGAAGCCCCTTGTCGATAGGTCCATTTCAAATTTTACAGATGCCGCTTGATTTTTGGCGTAATAAATTTAATTCGATTAAATATTTTAGGTTTAGGAAAGGCCTCATATTTGAGATTAAGGCGACATCTGCATGACGTTGAGATGGTGGTGCATATCCCACCTTTCAAATCTCTAATTGGGGGCGACACGAAGTACAAAACAAATTTTGAACTTTAAACTGTTCGGGATCTTCTCAAGAACCACCTACCTTCCATCAATCCAGACGCCCTAACCGTAAAGCGGAATATAGTTTCAACAGTTCTTCAATGCCGAAAAGCGATAAGAGAGCCAGTTCTCTCAAAACGAAAAATGCAGAATGGCTGGATGCCATACAAATGCCCGACCGCCAACGGAAATACATGCACCCTCGTATCAAATATATCTCACCCCGAGACGAACGACGGCCCCGTAAAGGGCTTGATGCCAAGCTGTCTCGATACGAATCAACTCCTTCCGCGTCTCAACAGACATGTAATGCGACTCAGACGCAATAAGAGCTTCTTTCGTCATTTTTCGCGATCCACGGGGCTCCTTGCTCACATCCTCTTGCGCTGTTTGTATCAGGAAGCAGTTTTGTCGCTCGTCCACATACTCCGACTCCTTCAAAGCTCGGAACATAGTCTGATAAATCGGATAGGTCGTCGTCGCGTTATCCCAGTCTCGATTCGAAACCTGAAAGTAAAAGTCAGATCTCAATAATGGAATAATACGGCGGCCCTAAAGGTTCAACCAGGGAAAAATCGACTAACTACCGAAATCCATGAGAATCTTCGGAAAATTAGGATGACATTGAATGTATCGTGTAAATGTTATGATAACAATACATAAATTGCCTAGCAATTGTGAAAATGTTTATAGGTCCGTGTAATAAGTAGAATAAGTTTTGATTCAACAATCAGAAACTTCTAAACTCGAACAAATTCCGACAAAGTTAATTTTCACCATTCGGTATTTTTTGATGGTTCAGTCAATTTAAAAGGTAATTGAAGATTCAGGAGATGATTTCGAGTTGGTGAAAGTTTCTTTTATTGTACCTAACGAAAAAAAAGGTTTTATCATGAAAAGGTAAAAAAGCTTCTGAACCAGTTCTACAAAAAAATTAAAATAAATGAAAAAACTCACCGGTGGGGAGTCAAAAATGTAAACTTTGGATCCTCGAAGCGCGAAAAATCGGGGGTGCCAATTTTGCCAATGATGTCCATTGTTTGTCACAAACCCTTCACACACCCATCCCATGTAAGATATCTGATCATGTGGCGGCAATGCGTTATTGAACACCTTTGTCTGCGAAATCACACAAAAACATTTCACAACTGCGCTGTAAATAGAGTCACTTAAAATACAAACCTGAAGGCTGTTGATCCCGATCACGTTGTTAGTTATGCATTTCATCCACTCCGAGAGCTCTGCAAGGTCGCAGCATTCTACAACACCTGTTCCAGTACCGTCTAGACCACGAACTTCGAAGCCGGTAGGCCGTAACTTATCCGTGCCATAGATGTACCGCGTAACGTACGACATGAGCAGAGGGACTGTTGACAGAAAGACAGAGCCACAAAGTCGTGTGAACACCACGTAAGAGCTTGGTCTCGTTTATGGGACCAAGAAAGTTGCTTGCGACACCAACAATGTCAATGGCCACTCCACCAACTGAACCTTACGAAAAACTAGCCAATCAAACTCAAGAACATTACCGTAAGCAATTCAAACACCGGATTAGACGACTACCTCATCAGTATGAGATTCAACAGTTCAAAGATATAAAAATTAAAGAACTTGACTAGATGCCATGAAAGAGACAGAGGGCGGATTCGTCAAAATACCTTTAGAAACGGGTATCCAATCTTTGTTCAGCTCACGCTTCCCATCTACACTCAAAAAATTTGACTTCATTTCCTCCCATCCTTCGTCGGAGTTCAGATTCTGCGAAAATTTGGTCTCGGCAAGATGTTTCTGGTATCTAGCATCTGCAAACAAAAGAAAAAAATTCAGAAAACCGAGCACTCCGAATACACAATTTCAATTCAAACTTACAGCTCTTTTTCAGGAATGGAGTGGCGGACTTGTAATGCTTGAGCTGAAGCTCTACTTGATCACCACAATGCCGAAGAATCTCTAAAGCTTCTTCGTGCGTCACACTTACGAGTGACTTATGGTTGACTACAGAAAATTTAACCGGAATGAAACCTTGGCGTAAATCAAATCAATGGTAAACTTACCCTTAGCAATAGCATCACCAACAAAAACACAACCAGACGCATCAGCAGGCGAATCTTTGAACACTTTCGAAATGAGAATCGGTAGATCGTGTTCAGCACCACCCTTCACTGCGATGCCAACGTAACCGTTTTTCGGACGTTTTATTACAACAGTTCTCTCCTAGAAACGAGAACCGATTAAACCGTATATTCATAAATCTTCTGGCGACTTGAGAAAACCTCACCTTCGAATCTAACATGTACAGCTCGTTTTCGTCAATATCTAAATACTCGAGTGATTCTTGTTGCCGTAGCTCCTTACTGCACACGTTCTCTTTTTCGTCTTGAGATTCCCAAACTACTTCTTCCTCACGAAGAAGCACCAAACAATCCGAGAAAAGTTGCAAACGATAAGGCTGCGGTTGACTTTTCCCATCGCTCACAGCCACGTCTGTCGACTTGAGCTAGTATATTCGAGATGGGTTCAATAAACGTTTATTACGAATGACAAATGTCATTAACATTACCATGGGGAGGTCGGAGAGCCTCCGCTGGGAAGAACGCCTAGATTCGGACATGGCGAGGACGAGGTCCTCGGGACCTCAAGGCGTTACAAAACGCAGATCGACGCACGCCACCTTCTGTGGAGAAAATTACACAAGGTCACTAGAACAGGCTTTCAACACCAGACTCGTCCACTAAAACTGCACAGCACGAAGAAATAATACAAAATTCGGGAATTGAGCTCAGATTCCATTAATAACAGCGATTCGTCAATGATCAAGACCAATATTTCCGAACCAACATTGCGATCAATGATTTGCATGGCATGAGAAAACAAGTGTCGAATGAAGTGCTACTGTAGCAGTAACATGACCTGGTCAACGGAGGAGGACTCATAGGGATCTAAGTGGGTTGGTTGACAGATCGCACGTGGCTGGCAATACTTATGCCCTGGAAATATAAATCTGGAAAAAAATTGACACAATTTTGGTCAACAAGGATTCTTCTATTTTGCAATCGGGTCAAAGATTAAGGAATACAATATAACAGCATGGAATAGAGGATCAATAGTATGGCCTGATTTTGATGGGTTCCACATGAGTCTTTGACACTTTCCCCCAGGTTCCATTTGGCAACAATGAAAAATTTGGTCGCCTCTGGGGTTTTGGTTTTCCAATACCATGGCCTGACGTGGAAATAGTTGAATTCAAGCGCCCCCCTCTCATTACATCTTCGTTCACAGCATCAAACAGCAAATCATTCAAAGAGCCGTCAAATACAGAATCTTCGTCCTCATCTTCCCCAATGGATTCAAAGCTTAGATCGTCCTGAAGCTCAGTGTTGTTCAGCGCAGCAGTTCCTCCAGCTTTGTTACCTTCCGACTTCTCCAATGATGAAGACCAGGAGGATTGTTGGCGCGATCCTGATTTCACAAGGTTGTCATTCTGCGGTTTGCAGATGCCTGACTTGAGTTTTTGCTGATTACGAAAACAGAATATCTCTCATGATCCATTCAAAAAATTTGACAAGTCTGAACTTACTACCACTTCACGACAAAATTTAACTTCCTCCTTGGTAGGGCAGTTTTTCTGGGATTCTCCATTGCTTTGTCCAAACTGGGACTTCCCAGAAGGTTTAGAATATTGCGCCAAAGTTATTCCAATGAGAACAACCAAAACCAACAGCACAGAGGTTTTTACTAGCATTTTCCCTTCACTCAACGTTCCACTATCTAAAACAGAAAAGTGCTCTTGGAAATGACTCGACTGACTCCCCCTTTCCTCAGAGCATCGTTTTATACATCAGTGAGCTCACAGAAGTCGATTAACGAGAACATCAAAACGATCAGACGATTGAAGAAAAATAATCAGATTGTCTTGAAGATCATCACAGCCATTTGATTGATGTAGAAGTATATGAAGGTGGCGGGTGCATGTGTGACGAAGCATCCGAAATTGCGACCAATTATCACCTGCCATGCTGGCTTGTATTTTGCATCCAACGCCCGTTTAACGGTCTCGCAAACATCCTGAGGCAATCATCGACACGAGAGAGTCATCAAAATCCGAGTCAAAATTTTCAAGAAAATAAAAACCTTTCTGTTCACAGAAGTGCGTCGTGACCAAGAGGACTTTTTTTACGGCAACAGCCTCTGACGTAGCTAATTTACTAAGGGAGTCTATATATAAGACGTTCCTGTGCTTGAAGAAATTCGCAACGATACAATTTTGCTTGTTCATCTTCTTCGAACATGAGATGATTCAGAATCCTCATTAGCCAGTAATTTTAGGATTACTGCGCACGGAGTCATTCTTAGTCCGATCCGCTCTAATTTACATACACGTACATGGTTTCTCTGATTCATGAAATGAGAACAAATTCTAAATACTACAGTATTTCGGAAAAGTAAATAAATTCAGATTCTAAATGAAGATTTCAGAGTTTAAATTAGGTGTAAATTTTAAATAGCCACAGAAAAGATTGGCCAAGGCATAAAAAATCTGCTCCAGGGTAACTCTTGACCACGCACAGAAAATGATCTCGGTATAAGCATGCGAATAATAATTTGCATTTTAGAAAGAAGATTGAGAATTTTACAGCTCCTTCTCCGAGTATCAAACTTTTTGTTGTTGCGAATTTACCAAAAGCAGTTCATCATAATATTCACATGGTGATAACAGAATACGCAAGAAAAAATACCAATTCTCCACGAAAGTGTTACCCGGACAAGTATCCTCAAGATACATGTAGCTCTTACAGTTCAGGCCCTCTACTTACGTTTTCACGATCCGATTCAGCCAGAGCTAAATTCGTGAAATGGACGCAATCCTTCTGCATGCCTTCATTCATATCCGAATTTTTTATGAAAGCCCTCAGAGGCACGGCCATCATTGCGCTCGACATCTTGAAAATCGGAAGCTTTGACTAATTTCCGCAACAATACAACATAAAAAAAATTTAACACAACAAAAGCACTCTCGCTAGATTCATTCCTCCGAGCACCTGCAACAACTTTATACGGTTTCTAGTTCAAGTTAACAATGATCGAAGACATGGTTTCGGATTTCCAAAAGCATTTAAAATACGTCACACATCATCACAAAGCCAATTATAAATCCTCGGTAGGAATTGCATCGGAATTTTTGAATGCAGAGCTCGCGCGCGAGAAGATCAAAAAGCGTTCACATTCATCGACGGATGGCATCTCAAACAGATCCCGTAAGGCATTTGTTCGCCTCGTGATAATAGCGTACATCATTCGCGAAGACCATCAAGTTGTCTTTGTATGACGACGAATCCTGCAAAATAAAAATTAGCTACGTAAATTTTCGCCATCTCTCACAACAAGGAGACCGTAGGAACACGGAACAGATAACTTACGAACAAAGCAGATACAGAGAGAGTGAGTACGTTATTGAAGAAGCAATTTTGAGGACACAATTAAAATTAAAATTTGACGACACATTGAGCAAATTTCAAAATTGTTACGTTAAACTACATCTTGGTTACATTTTGGCTAGTAAAAGTTATCTGTACTTCATCTTTCGTGAACTCGCTATTTTCAGACATGCATTTTTTGTATAGACGCTCTTCGTGAGAACATACCATCATCCCCATGAACTCCGTCAACAACTTGTTACGCTGTTCATCGTTCAGTCCAGCGTCTGCTCGAATGTATTGCGGAAAGAAATACTGATAAAAGTCGGCCATATCCGACTGAGCCATGCTGTGCATCGCATCGACGATTTCTTCCTGAAGCAAATTATGACCCTCTATCAAAGCATCCATCAGCACCTTCTCGAAGCTCCGAAGCATGTTCTCCTTGAAAATCTAGGTAGTATAAAAAGAAAAGCATCATTCGCATGCTGAAATTTGGCGCGTCTTTACATGTTCGAACTTTTAACAAAATAATCGGTGACTTTCCTAAAACAGAACAAACTCTCAATATGGTAATGAAAATAACCTTTTTTTACGTTTTCCTTAGAGGCATCCAGTAGTGAATTAAGTAGTGGTCTAGTGCAGTTTATACTTCAACAGTACCAAGCATAAAAATTATGGGCCTTCTTTTCTTTGGTAATTTTAAATTGATTTGAACAACTCGAAGTGCATTGACATTGACGTTCAATTTCTCTTCAGTTATCCATTTCTGCTACTAACTCTGCAGTACTTCTCCTTCAGGATCCATAAACTTCGTACAGGCAAAATATCAATTCAATAGGACAATTGAGGACATTTTAAAAATTTGAAGAAAGAAAAAAACAATTCAACGAAAACAAGCGTGTCCGTAATACGAGACGAACGCATTTCTTTCGTTCTCTGCAAGGTTTTAAATACTGTATTTCATCAGAAGTTGAAAGTACATTTTTTTGAAGATACAGACAAAAATCACAAGACTTCAATATTATTTTTCGTGTCAACATACCTTTTTGGAATACAGGCGCCATTTGTCATCAAGTCGTCCGAGGGCAGCCAGGGTTTGCCGAAAAAGCTGCAAATCCTGTTGCACTAATGCCCACCCGAAGGCCTCCATTATCCGGCGGAAAACGTGTTCCCGACCATTCAACAAATCCCCGCTGGCTCCTCCCAGCGAAGTCCCGAAAAAAAATCGCCAATTATTCAACATCACTCTCGCGAACACTTCGATCAATGGTCCGGCGAGTTCCGGGCACATTGACACCAGGGGCCAAATTTTGTCCAAACACAGATCCAGTGTCGGCGCAACGAATGCCGCCGAGATGGCCGGACTTCCGCCGGAATCTGTGGCGAATATCGCCAGCATCAGCTCCATCAAACGCACTTTTCCGGCTGATTTCGGCGTGGTGTTGGGCGCAAAGCAATTCTCCATGACCCCTGAAGCGGAAAATGCACTCAATATGGCCTCTATTATTTTTGCTGCGTTGTTGACGCCAAGCGACATTCTCATCACCTGTTCAAGCAAAAGGATAAAAAAAAACATTGATACGATTCAAGAACTATCAAGGATATAACGAAAGTTCGCGTCATCAATTTTCCTAGTCATTGCAGAAAATGATTTGGCTGTTTCAATACCAAAGAATTAAAGGTTCTGCGTGATCAATGAAAATCAATAAAACAAGAGGGTGATATCCGACATGTATTTAGTACCTGATGAAAGGGCAGCCTTTCAACAAATCTCCTTTGGTGCATCCAGGTTTTCAAAGGATGTTCCCTCAAATTTTCCCAGCTTTCCTCTTTTATTGAACCGATTATTTAATTTTCTTCTTATTTGGGAGTTCTGACGAAAATTCTATAATATTCTGAAGCAATATTAACGAAAAGACAAAAATAGACGGGGAATTGGCGACCATGGCTGCCAGAATCACGGTTACTTCTGTTCGATCCACAGACGTTGTACAGTTACATTACAGAAATCTCTCTTGACATTTTCAATAATCCATCACAGACGTCTTCATTAATTCACGATCACATCGGAAGAAAAAGAAGGATTTACATTACCGTACTCTATAATATTCCGTCTACAGTGTGCTTTACAAAACGCGTTGCTTGTAAGTCCCCTCGATCTACTTCTTGTCCCACACAAATTTCGCTTTCTGATTCCCATCCAGCATTTTCCCATTTTCGAAAATGATACAAAAAAGGGTGAAAATACTGCACTAATATTTGATGAAAAGAGGACGTTTTCAACTAGGAACTTTCATCACGGTAACACACGCAAAAACATACCTCAAATAATTTCAATATCAAGTTGAGCAAAGCTTCCGCAATCAGAGGAGATCCCGCTACGCACGGACCAAGCAAGTGCAAAGCAACAGCCAAATGAGGCTGAATACAGAAAAATACTGCTCCCTTCACGGAAGTGGAATCATCTTCAACATTCACAACCAAATCGGTTATGAATTCCACAGCCCTTCCGATGGATTCTGCAACAACAACACCAATAAAGACAATTTCCAACCCAAAGCTTGGAGGCATTCACTGAACTTACGGAGAGTTTCAGGACCTAGGTCCACCACTCCCGTCATTGACAAATAATCCCCAGTTAGAGATCTCACGAATGCCTGCAACTGATCCCTTTTGAGTGTCCACTGGGGATCCATTCCTTTTTTGTTTGAAGTAGAGAGAATTGAGTTTGCTACTGAGCGATACACCAATAGCTCCGTCTGCAAAATAAGAAAAAAAATCATTAAAGGTAGGTATTGAATTATAAAACTGAAGGGACGAATTCAAGGACACTACGAAGTCGAACGATTCATCCATTACATAAGAGCATATTTTCTGGCATTTGTGAAAGCTTCGGAGAACCATATTCTATTGGTATAGCTTCCTCTGTCGGAGAAATTCCTTCCACAAATCCAAGAAAAGCGCCGAATTTGAAAGACTGAAGCATTGATAATAAATGCAGGATGTTATCACAATCCTTCGAAATAAATCTTTAGACCCTTTCTTGAAGCAAAAGGCTCAAAAACTTTGGAGTCACTGATTAAAATGGGAGAAGTATATTTTTCAGTTGATGTAACAGTAAATAATCGGATCGCGCAGTTCGTCAAATGGAAACACCAGAGCGACACTAATCACAGTTTTCTTACCGCTCGATCGAAGCCCCCAGCAGGCAAACGTTCAACCAGACTCTTCATCACTTCCGATTCCATCACTTGCAATGGATGCACCGTCTTCGTTAGGGAACACAACAACTGTCCCGCCGACTGCGAGATTTTAACTGGGGCCTGGTTCAACAAAAATATTCAAATAAAAATTATGAAATGAAAGAAGTTAGAACAGATTTTTGTTTGCCATTTCAAAGCTGGATTTCCCGGACTCCATGATCTTTTTTCGTCATTACAGATACGTCGCATGAATTTAGGTATACTTCGTCAAGATTAAAAGAGATTCGGTTTATGTCGACTTGCACTCGAATCCCGTGGGTCATTCCCATTTACGGTAAAGGATCAAGGCGACATTCCAAGAAGCGTTGAAGGCAACGGAACTTACATCCGGGGTGATACACGCAACTGCAGCATGGAAGATCATGCTCACAAACTTCTCATAGTCCTCCAGAGGCATTTTGGCTTGTATAAGGCGATCTTGAATAAAATCCGGAGGAACCGTCTGATGCTCGAGCACGGAATCAGCAAGATACCGACACCACGGTCTCAAGGCAGCCAACGACTGCGCCATGGCTTCTTCAAAATCACTTTTCAAATCCGGCAACACGACGTCTGTCGCGTAGAACTTCACCCGAGCACCCATTGCGGCCGTTTCGCAAAGCCTGTTCAGGATGAAATTGCCGATCGCCTGCTTCAAATTTTCTCAACAATGAAATCCAACAGAGAGTTCCTTTAGTAAGAACCATTTATAATTTTCAGGTTCTCGTTGAATGTCCTCGAACTCTACGATTTATTCCTATCATACAAAGGTCACCGGCATTATTAGGAATCTGCTAAGTATGGATAAGAAAACAATATTCATTCGGAAGTACACTGCTTACTCCATAATTACGCATCATGAAAAGTACAAACACTTTCTTACAGTACTATGCCTAGCGAACAGGTAAAAAAGTTCAAACCCAGCTCCTCCCAAGAAAACATATACGGAAGGGTCACTCACATCGTGAAAATCCCAATGGAGCAGGAAAATCGGTTCCTGAAATAATCCCCAACAAAGAATTCGCCGAATCTCCCGGCAGCCTGAAGGAAAGTTGCGAGATCCCTCAAAAGACGATGCAGCTTTTGGCACTCGTGATCCGCAGTGACCATGAGCCACCTTTTCCCGTTTTCTTCTGCCACCGTCGTCTCAAGCTGAAGATACACCTTAAGGGCAGCTTCCAAAGGCAGCGTAATCGCATGAACTGCGTATTGCGGTGTCACAGCACTAATTTTGGCCAACATTTCGATGCATTCTTTCACAAAGAAAGTCCACTCGGTGTAACCGTTTTCGTCTATCGTCAAGTTGTCCAGACTATCGAGAGTTTCGAAATTGTGCTTGAATTGAACCTAAAGAGAAGAAACAAATATTTACTAAAATACTGTACAGGTACTCGACTTATAAAATGAGACAATCATTTCTCGAAGTTTCGGTGAAGTAAATCAATCTAGGTAAGAAAAAATCGAAATGCGGAATAATGCTTTCAATTCATCTGAAGCCATACTCATGATATTGTGTAACCTACCAATTTTCCATACCATTCTGTCTCCTTGCAATCGAACATGAAAGCAAATGTAATCGCAGTAAAATACAAAAATAGAAAATGCTAACACAACCTTTCATCTGAAAGATTTTTCACAAGCATGAATTCCAAGTTCTAAAAAAGTATACAAACAAAGCCTCCCGTGTCTTTTAAATTTGATGATCAACTCACATGCTCCAAGATTTTATCAGCCAGTGTTTTCAAGCAATATGCCCCACTGTGAAAGCTATGATCCTCGAGTTGTGTCCCTGTTCTTTCTTCCTGCTCGATGTCAGCGTAAACGAACTCCAAGTACGAGGTCCAGATTTCGAATGCGGCAAACATCTTCTCTGGGGGTGAGAGCTTAACAGTGTATATCAAGACAAACTCCATGAAGTCGGCAAACGGAGCATTGCAATGCTTGGATGTAAACTTCTGCAAGCGTCTGATGTGAGTTCCGAGAAAACTCTTGAGATACTCCGTCATTTTGTCCAAATAGCTGCGAAGTAATGAACACATGATTCGAACACAAACATATTCTAGTCAAAAATTATTCGAAAATCTGAAAGAGATATTCGAGGAGAATGAAAAATGGGAACTTGATCGATAATCCCAACACATCTTTCAACATCTAATTTACAATTGAGCAGGAGATGCGACTCGTGAACTTCACAAACCACGCAACTGAGCTGAATTAATCCAACACCTTACTAGCCTGTATTCCAACTTACTTAATTCGAAAGACGTATACCAATTAAACAAGGCATACTTACCCCCAATTGAAAAGATAACACATTTCAACTACAATCGCCAAACCGATCGTAAATGACTCGACATGTAAAATATGCTAACTTGGCATTTCCAAATGAATAATCTAACCAACGATATCCTAACCAACCTATTCGAATCACGGTATCCCACAAACTAAAAATATAGGTTGAGTCCACACAGGTATCGGAAACATCAGGGACAGTTTATGACAGCTAATAGAATAAGGAAATCGAAATTAATGACAGAAAAATATTCATCCACTCACTTCGGTCCCACTCTACCCACGGTGTTTCGATTATCAATCACGATCAGCCGGAGAAGACAGTATGTGTCACGGTAAACTGCTTCAAGGAAAGCTTCACTTTGAACAGGCACAAGATTTTTGGACACAATTTCCACAAGAACACCCAAGGCGGCTTCTCCAACGGGTCCCGTTGTATCAGCAATCGCAAAATGAAATACCAAGTCCAATAGCTTCCGGGGTTCGTATGAAGAAACTATCGATATCGGAGCCCAGGAGAGAACGTGTGCGAGACAACTTAATGCCAATGCAGCTAAACTGCGTGACCGTTCATCGACTTTCATCCAATCGTTTCTCGCGACTTTCCAATTGAGTCCCGTATACAAAGCTGGTTCGGAAACGGGACGAGAATGAACAGCAGCGGTCTTATAATGGCTCAAAATCACGCTCAGGAGTTCTAATAACGTTGAGATGATTCTCGGGCATTCGATGTGTAAAAGCTTCTGAATTTCGTTCTTGCGGGACATGGTAAGATTTCCTCGCGGGCAACCAAGTTCTTCTGAGGTGATCAGAAGAAAAGAAAGGCCAACTTCTGGAGACACTTGCACCATCTGTAAAGAAAAAGTGCGACACATAAGGCGTGGATGAACATCGTCGCTTCATCCTAGAAATGAAGATTGTTTTACCTGGAAAACGTGATCGATGAAATCCGAATACTCGAGAGGCCAAGATATTCCGGCAATATCGACGATCAACTTCATCAATTTATTCCTCAAAAAGACCGGACAGTTTGCGTGATGCTGCTCTAGCATTTGTAACAGGGACGTTCGAAGTTTGAACCGCTCCTCAGGCAAGAGTCCAATCCATCTCTGACTTATCAACTTCTGCTCAAAGTCATGAGTTCAGCACGTTTCCGAGTATTGCTCATTTCAGCAATACTGCACAGTACTCACATCAAGGCTGGTCAAACAAAACATGCTGACGAATTGGTTCGACGAGGAAAAGCCAGAAAGAAAAAAATGAACTGCATCGGGCTGACGACTATACTGCTCTAAGATGACTTCGATTTCCTTCTTCCGTGAATTGCTCGCAGCGGCGGAATAGAACTCATCAAGGATGAGCTCAAGCCCATGAAACTCGTACGTCGCCATGAAGTTTAGCACGTAGGCCAGATCAGGAGATTCAGACTACCACACAAAAAACTTTCCTTTCAGAAGACGATCACTCACGGACTGGCAGGACACTGCCATCATCACGACATCGGCGTTCACTGCGTGCGAATACCTTCTCAGTACATTCACGAGCACTTCTGACGATCTACAATGAAAACACAATAAATCAGACTGAAGACGATATCTAACATTATTACGTACACCGAGACGATTTCGAACAAGCCACAACACAAAAAATAGTTAGAATCAAAACCAAGAAGGATGGATCAGCTGTTCGACACAGATATGGATATCAGATCATCGTTCGGCTTCTATAATTTCGAAAGCACTTCCAGCCCCCAACTCCGCCTTCCAGCGCATAGCCAGGCACGACGGATGCCCGCAAAATCCTCGTCGCACGTGAAGAATGAGTCTTGCAGATGTCGCTACCAAGGGGTTTCAACAGATGCTAGCGTTACGAACCTTTTTCTCGGATTAAGTTCTCCGAAATTATGCTATACCTTCATTTATTCTCACAGCACCCAAACAATAGAATAAGCATACTTGAAATTTTTCAAAAGATAACTGGATAATAAGCTTATTACATTAATTTTGCAGGAAAACATTTCAACAAGCTCATCTACTTCAGCGTTATAAAATCCATGGAATTATTTGGTCATTCTACAGTAGACGAGTACATCTTCAGTGATGCAAACCAGACAGACGCACAATGAATATACTGTGCAGAAACAAGAAAGGAATTTTTTCTAACAACTTTGAAAGCTAATGCCGACATAGCGTGCCAATCGACACCCCCAGCAGCAGCCCACAGAGACATTCAATGCACTGATTTCACTCCATTACCCCACTTTTCCCCCTATTCATCACCCACCGAAGATCACTTCCGACACGTGCCAAGACGTGGAAAGGGAAGGACACTTATCACTTCCCGCGCACAAGTCGTAATCACTCCTGTGCAAGGTACCCGACGAGGTTTTAATGCCCTCCTATCTACATGAAGAAATTTGTCCCCATGCCGCGCAAAGACCCGATTGCAGATAGAAAATTCCTCAATTGCGTGACAATCACTCGTCATAATCAAAAGCAATCTAACACTGTTCCCGAGTTGTCGCGAGTATATGTAGGGCCATGTGTTTGATCCGCCAGTCACGCGAGAAACCTCGACGGCGGCGGCATTTATTCATTCCATCAATGAATATACCGATCCCGACGCCAGGGAACACTGATTGAAACGGACCCTCGCGTGAGATGCATTATTAGGCAGCACTGCGCGCCTGCTGGTTTCTTTTATCCCCTGATTAATAATAATCTAAACTCCTGGCGTTGTTTTTCTTCTCTGTTTCCGTGTTGGCCATCAAGCAGCGGTGAACTCGAGGGGAGGGCCTGGATTTTGAAGTTGACGGCTCAACGTGGTTGTTAGCTAATCAGAGTGGTTGTTAGCTAATCAGAGGAGGCATGGAATGAAATTAGCTCCGCGGCTATCGGTTAGCACCACCTGTGTTCACTGATCCTTTTTTGGGAGAACCAAGCGCAGGGTGTATTGCAACCCATCACTGGATACAATAATAAAGAACGCATGCATGCACTCCCAGGAAATTTTCTTCTCACTTCGCACCAACCAATGACAGTTCAAGTACGCCTCAAAAGATTTGCCGTACAGATGAGGAAAAACCATTACTTGCCTTTTATCCCAGGCGCAGTGTTACCAGGTATTGGTGACCACTGTGCGACCAGGAGGACACCTTTTTACTATTTCTCGGTGGGCGAATTTAACGTAGGGTTTCATTTATTGCTAAATGTAATTTCTTATAGAATTTTTGATAGCTCCGCGTCCAGGCATATAAGCAGGGCGGTTGAACAGAACAGCAGAAATGCCGGAGTCATTAATTGTTCATCTTCATCTTGTGCATAGATGAATTTCACATCTTTTCAAAAGAACAATAGATGTGTTAGGTTTTCTTCAACCATTTGTCGCACATATTACACATTCCTTTTACCTACAACTGCACAGTAGCACTGAGTTCCCTAACCAGTGGTTTTCAGACTGGTGCCAGTATGTTTTTTGCAGGTCCATGGGAAATTTTCTTCAGCATAATAAAGTTCATCAAAAGTAGCAATCACATCTGATATGTTTCTCTGAAATTTTGTTTAGACAATGGCAGTTGAAATTATCTGAGGAAAAATAATATTTGGCTTTTCCTCAAATAATGCTACAGGAACATTTTTACAAGCAGAAATAAATATTCTCATAATATTCTATTCTCATTTATATTCTCATTTTTCATATTATATTCTCATTTTTCATTCTTAGAAACCTTTATTCAAGCCCACTTCCATATTTGTTTGAAGACATTCCACTAAAGTATAGGTTTTGCTTCATTGGTTCTTAACATCATTTTTGCAAAAAATAAAATAACATTTTTAAATAACTGCCTTACAGATTTTCAAACGTAACTTTTTTGAGTCAGCAGAAATTTCATGGCACCACTGATTTCATGCTTACCTGTGCCTCAGCAAAAAAAAGGAGACCAATGGACTTGCGGAGGTTCAGAAAGAGAACCCAGTTTCGATTCTCATTCAAGTTGAGCAAGAGCTTAATTCATCAGATGGGGTAATCAAACTCGCGGCAATTAAAAACCAACTCCGGGAATGCGCATGGCAAGGATGCCGAAAAGGCAGAGAAAAAGCATCATTGGGTGCGAAACCCCGCGTGACCCTCCTCAGGGGCCTCGGTCAAGCCAGTACGGGCCGAGTTTGACACCCTAAAATTACTCAGCGTAGTACCCGACAACTCGTTTGCCTTTTTCCGAAGCCTCTTGATCGACGCGTCTTTCTTTTTTTCTCTCTCTGCTTCACATACACACACGCCCGATGCAATTAAGATAATGACGGGTTCTTTCGGCGACCGAATTCAGAGAGAGAGAGATAAAAATGAAGCGCATTCGGGGTTTGAACGGCAGGAATTCCGGCTGTGCCCTGATAACAGTTGGTTACTGATGGACTCCAAAAGGATTTCCCAGGGATTTTTGAAAATTGACTACGCTTTAATGGTTTTGCGCGAGTATTAATATTTATCCTCGGAAAAAATGGGATTGCATGACAAGCAAGTGAATATGAAACACTGTACAATATTCATCTCCCTTCATCGCAATCTCAGCGAAATTAATATAATGCAGTCCCAATTCAATTCAATTTTCCCCAGTGGCAGATGCAGGCAATCCACCTCTGGTTGTAAAAATTGTTTGCTTTCGTCTCAAATAACGCGGAACCCATTGTGATGAATTAAATCGTGACCAGCAAACCTTCGCAAGCGCACAATAAATAAATAAATAAATAGACCCCAACAAATTATCCGCTTGTTGGTCCGTTTGCCAGTTGCAAATCGCATTCAAAGATGTGCATATTTTTTCCTCCTATGCACTCTGTTCATTCCTCGCATCAAACAGCGTTGAAAGCGATAAATAAACTGGCATGGGGAACAGAAATTGCCATTGCCTCGGCTTTCATCGCACTGATGGCAGTTTTTCTCGACCAAAGGCACGGAGTGGGGGGCACAAAAAAAAAAGAGAGAGAGAACATGAATCGCAAAAACCCGCAAAAGAACCTTGCTTTTAAAGCTTATCAACCTCGTTTTATATCAAGTCCGGGGGCCCCAGGGTTTTATTTTGTCCGAGTGAGTAATGCCCTGAGGGGAGAGACGCTTGCTTTTGGCTGCTCCTTTTTTTTTATTGTCGGGGATTTTTCGGTGTTGAATTTTCGGGGTAGTGTAGAAAATATAAGGGGGCTCTGTTGCTACATGCATGGCTTTCGACTAGAAAATCGCTGTGGATTTTCATGTGAACATCGAGTGAGCATATGTTTTTTTTGTTGTGTTCTTTCTTTTTGAAAGAGAGAGAAATGGAAAATGGGGGTTTTTTACTGGGTTTGGGTCCATTATTGGATGAGGAAACATTGCGAGGAAAGTCCCCTCTCATACGCCCCCTTTTTGTGTGTCATGGACTCTTTTTTTGAATGAAGTTTAGCCCGACTTTCTTGCGTCGAGCGATTTGTAGTCAACCTCGTCTCGAGGATTTTCGAGTCGTTTTGAAAACTGTCGGAATAAAATACTACTGTTCACGGTATTTATATTTCTTTCAACCAAAGAATTTTGTTTCCAGCAGTGCGTCTGGATTTTCAGTCTTATTTTATTATTATTCCTGAGTGAGAAAAATGGTTGTCATTAGGAGGAAGCTGGGAGTGAATTGAAGGATGAAAAGCGAGAATATTTCCTGCTTTTTCCGCCAGATTTAGCCGGGAAGTGGGCAGGAAATCGAGGAAGCTGGATCGGATTCTCCGTCGTTAATTGCCCGGCTCGGAATCCCCTGATTTTCATCCTCGTCGACTAAATGTGTTCGATGAACAAAGTACCACCGAAGTACTTAATATCCCTGTGTCAGACTTACGCAATGGTTGCTCATGAAAACGTGTGTAATTCATGACAGCGAGTACGAAACATATACTGTATTGAGGTACCGTATTCTGCTCGGATAATCGCGGATTTTATATTTAACAACTGTTTCCGAATCAGAAATTTCCTTCAGAACTACAGCATCTTGACTTGAAATGTATCCTGTGTGAATGTGGCTGTATGGCCTCAGAAAATATGGCTGCACGTTTCTTTGCATGCAATAGTGAGACCCCCACATGCGGACACCTTGACATGCAGACAATTCAACATAGGGACATTTTTTTTTCAATAAAAAGGGCATAAAAAAGGCCCAACATACAGACACTGACTCAACATGAGGACATTGCATGATAAAATTGCCTATACATTTCACAAACATTCACTTTTATTAACTTTGATTGCAAGAAACAGATACAGTATTTCCAACCCTGAGATTCCTGCAAGAAAAATTCTTTGTCACTTTTTGCGAGGGGGGTTTATATGGACTTCTTTTTTTTCAGAAATCAAAAATATGTTGTAGCTTTTGTAGAGGTTAATTACAGGGAATCAAATACAAAGGTGGCACTCAAACATACAGGTATATCAGTAGTGAGATTATTTGTATCCTGTTGTGCCTAATAAAACCCTGTACCAGTTTTATGTTCATTTTTTTGAAAGTGAGAAGTGTAAATACATTTAATTAAGAGAATATTTTGGTGTTGTCCCCTACGACATGGAAGAAACTTCAAACAGTCGTTATTTTGCCATGCCATAATATAAACGAAATTATTTTGAAGCTGTCAAGTTATTTTTTCACGTTAATTTATTTGATTTATCTACAATAGTATGCAAGGGTGTTTGAGAACAAATTTCTCATGGCAGCTGCAGCATGTACAGTAAAACCCCAGTCTAATGGACTTAATTCATGCAATGGACAAGTCTGTTTGACAAAAAGTCCTTCAGACAAATTCAATTATATAAAACATTATAACTTTTAATAGTCAACACTAATTTTAAACCAACAGAAATCTGTTTGGTTGATTTTGTCTGTTGGGTGGGAGGAAAAACTGCCTACAGAGGTGGTCTGTTGGGCAAAAATCCCTTATGCAGGAGGTCTGTTAGGCAGGGGGCCACTGCACTCACCCAAGTGGGGAAAATGGTGCACACTTGGGATATGCATGTATTTCCACACAGTGACCCTGCTGTGCACCTGAAGTGTACTGAAGTTCTTCTTCTGCACATGCATATCCCTAATGTGCACCAATTGTGTGTT